AAAAGTTTTCAGAGGCCTGCGGGTGCCCATCTGGAACGAGGCGGCTAGACGCTGAACACTGCGCGCGCGCTGTGTAGACAGGCGAGCCGTCATCGTGACCGAGTCCAAATCTATTCCTAGGAAGGAAATCGATTGACTGGGATGAAGGGAGCTCTTTGTCCAGTTGACAGAGAGGCCCAGCGTTTCCAAATGGTCGAGGAGAACTGCGCGGTGCGACAGAAGCTCCGTCTGTGATTGGGCCAAAATCAGCCAGTCGTCCAGATAATTCAGAATGCGCAGCCCCTGGCTTCGCAGGGGGGCGAGCGCCGTATCCATGCACTTCGTGAATGTACGGGGCGCCAGAGATAAGCCGAACGGGAGAACGGCGTATTGATAAACAAGACCCTCGAAGGGGAAACGTAAGAATGGCCTGTGACGGGGATTTATCTGGATCTGAAAATAGGCGTCTTTCAGGTCTAGAGATATGAACCAGTCCCCCTGGCGCACCTGCGCGAGGAGTTTCCTGGTAGTGAGCATCTTGAACGGTCTCTTCATGAGCGCTTTGTTCAAAGACCTGAGATCTAAGATCGGTCTGAGGCCGCCGTCTTTCTTGGGAACCAGAAAATAACGGCCGTAAAACCCCGACTCGGTCATAGATGGCGGGACTCTCTCTATCGCGCCCTTTTGCAACAGCGTCGCAATTTCTGAGCGGAGCGTGCCGGCGGCCAGCGGGCTGACAGAAGATTCGAGCTGCGCGCGCGCACGAGGCGGGCGGCGGCGAAACTGTAGCAGGTAGCCGTTCTTTATAATGCTTAACACCCACGGGGAAATGCCTGGAATGGCTTCCCACGCTTTGGAGCATGCGGCTAGTGGCCGAATGGCTGTATTGCCCTGATTGCTGCACATAGCGGGCTGGACACAGTGTGTGGGCGCGCTTTGAATGTGTGTGGCAACGGGATTTGCACTCAGAGAGGAGTCTATGGGCCGTGACACAGAGCGAGCAGAGAGGGGACACGTGCACGAGCTCGTGGGCGTGTTTATGTTCTCTGATATTAGAGCGGGCTGTGCCCGTTTCATGTGATGGGGCTCTGATAGAGACACGGGATATGTTATGCTTGTGTGTATGGGTGAACACATGATTGTGGGCACATTTTCTACACAACTGGCAAAATTTCTCTTTTTGAGATTTCTCTGGGTAGCCGTAAAAACGGCTTTTTGTCGCTCGCAAGCGGGCTGGGACACCGGCTTGTTTGTGGCGGTCAACACTACAGCAGTCGGCGAAATAACGGGGACTGGCAGAGGGCGAAGCTTTGACGGCGGTCCGGCCGCAGCGGGAGAATCACTACTTACCCGAACCCGACGTGCATAAATTATTTTTTTTGAAGAAAAACCCGACCCGAGACAGACCCGATAAAATTAGACCCGAGTCCGACCCGACCTGACGGCATTTCCTTTAGAACCCGACTGGACCCGAACGTAAACGGCATTTACATTGTGCACAGCCTGCAGCCCTGCGTTTCTCAAAAATGCACTTAACATAGACGTGCAAGTGAAAGCGCGCTGAAGTGCTAAAATGTCAATCACACATCACTGTAACCCATTACGTCCTATAAAATTTGGCATAATGTTATTTACCGGTCCATACGAGGATTAGAACCACCATTCGTTTTCCCTGACATTTTTCGCAATTTCTGTTATCGCCTCCATGGTTTTCTGACAGTGTCGCGTATTTTTAAAATTGATTGACAGGCCTGGCTAAACGACAATTCAAATACTTGCATTTAGTCAAACATCCATCCACATGATGGCGCACTAGTTCTTCTTGGCAAAGGGAGGGGTTGGTTTATGTGGAGCGAGCAACTTAAATGCAGAGGCAACCGTGCTTATGCTTATAGCCCATTTGCACGTAGAAGCGCGGATTCGCTCTCTCACTTAGAAAAAGTGAGAGAATGGTGTCATAGAGTTGTTTTAAATACTGCAATTTTCTTAAATGCCCAACATAGTTTAAAAGAATTCGGGTCTTCTCGGGTCCATTTGGAAAAGGCATATTTATTTTAAATTACCCGAGACCCGAGGCCACTAATACCGAACCCGACCCGTGTCCGAGACACTCGTCGGAGTTTTGGACCCGAACCCGTTCGGGTCTCGGGTCGGACCTCGGGTTTTCGGATCCAAGTGGACCCGTGAAGACCTCTAGTCCACACTCCAGTACAGTAGGTGGCGGTAATGCACCATTAATGTTGGATGCCATCCGCCGTTAAACAACAAAGAAGAAGAAGAAGAAGAAGAAGAAGAAGTCAGTTTGTTTGGAAGAGGGAAGCATGGGTTTATCCTAGCACCTCCAGCAACACTCATTGGAGTCCTGATTGAGAAACTTTGTTTCCAGTTCAATATGGACTCTTTAAACGTTACTTTATATTTTGGGGTTTGGATCCGTATGAGTTGCTAAGGCTCTAATGATATGGACATAAAGTGGATTCTACCCAATGGATTGTTCTCACCGCATTATCTTGTGGATTATCAAATATCCTAACTACAAGAATGTGACTCAGTGGGCTATTTTGTTTTTCTTGGATATTTGGAAGAGCACTTGAAGGGCTATTGGGACTTGGACATCATCCTAAACTTTGACTATTTCAACTTTTATTGTAGTGATTACTACTTACCCAAAGAATCACTCAACTACAACCTTGAACTGATTAGCTTAGATTTTATTTTATTTTCATTGTCATTCTTTTTCTATTTGATTAAGTCTTACTTTACAGAACATCTGTCTGGATACTGCTTTCATTCGTTGGACTGGTTTCATTTAAAGTTCATATAAATGCATTGTTCTGTTTATTTCTTTTGGGTTTCCTAAACCATATATAAAGGTATACAACGTTAATTCCTGTCTTTATTGTTTGTGGCTACACACTGGGAAACATTAAGATATATATTTTTTCAGCAGCATTAATTTCTTAGTTGGTGGGCCCCTCCTATTATTCAGATATATACAGTATATATAGCTGCATGCTATAAAGGGGACAGTGGTTATACACATAAACATTGATCAACCCACCACACACATCAGTTATGGTAAATGGAAGCTCAAGCCTGTCCGCTTGACGTGCAAGAACCAATGAGGTTCATTCTCGTGTGTTATACACGCAGCATGTTTGAGCTTCTGCAAGAGCCAATGAGGTTTGTTTCTGCACATCAAGCAAGTACGGTTGACCTGTTTATGTTCGCTGATCTATGTTTACATATGAAATTATTAATAAAAGCATAAATTCAATCTGTTGATGACATTTTTTTTCTTAATTTTTTGGTGAACTAACCCTTTAAAATTTTTTTATTTTTTATTTTTAATAAATATATACATATAAAGAGTATACATTTTTAATTTGAATATTGTTGTGGACAATGTGGGTCAAAAAGCTCTAGAACTATATGTTTCAAAAGGATAATCAATGCTATTTTTAAAGTTAACACATTTTCTTGAAACACAATTCAAGGTGTGAGTGTGTGTTTGTGGTAGAATGTGCAGAGAGAGAAAGAGGAAGAGAAAGAATGGTGGGTGTAGGTTGATTTAATAATGTAATACATATTTCATGACTGGGTCTGGAAGCTTCCGCAGGATAAGTCCTCCGCACCTTCCCCTCTCAGTTCTCCAATGCCACAGGGTTCTAATTAGCTCCCTGCCTTTTGTTAAAACAGTCGCTGTTTCAGCTCCCTGTTAATCTCTGACTGTATGCTCTGCTGCCTTTAAACAAGACATTGTTGACAATATGAGGAGAGGCCAATTAGAGTATAAGCATTAGGACAATTGCCTGAAGTCTTCATGCTCAAAGGCAGTAAACACACAGCTCCTTTTTTCTGATACTGTATTTTTTGCTGTGTGATACTGCAGGAAAGCAGGAGACAACGAATTCTCTTAGACTTGAAATGTTTCTATTACTACACCACCAATGGAGATGCTAAGTGAACATAATTAGTGTTCCTGGGTCTTGAGATGAACATTAAACCTTCATGATACTGCCTTCTCTGTGTGGGAAAACTCATTCGCATTTTTTTTCCTCTGGAAAAAGTTTTTTTTCAAGAGGTAGGCTATACGTTTTCCCTCCATTTGGTTACATCATGTTCAACCACAGCGGTTAATGATTTTATTCCAGTTGATAGTGGGATAGAACAGGATTTTTCATGGATGTTTCAGTAAGGTGAGGTGATCCTCTGATGCATTCAATCACTAGCCTACTAAGACATTTACATGGGTGAGTTTAGCCACTGACTCACTGAATTAAAATATTTTTTTTGTCATAGTCTATCCTACATACTATACATTGTCAGATCCATACTTATTTCGGTTATTATGTTATACTGTTTGACTGCTTGTTCACTTTGTTGTTCCCTGATTATTCATCTGTATATCATTTGTGTTATTTGTCAAAATTATGTAAAGTGTCCTTGGGTTTTTGAAAGGCGCTATATAAATATAACGCATTATTATTATTGAATATCTGTTGGCTGGTTTTGAGCACTTTTCTGCTTGTCAGACTAGACCCATTGAAAATAGAACCCCAATGTTAGGCTTGATTAAGCTGTTTTTTTTTTTTTCAGGTGAATAATATAATATTAATAAGAATAGAGATTATAAATAATAAAACAGGTTTACGTATATTTTTTTTATGATTTTTTTTCTGTCATATTAACTCTACCTGTGATTTGATTAGGATTTAGATGAGTAAAGTCAGTAAAAAATAAAAAAATAAAAGTCACAGCAGCGCCGCTTGAAATTTTTATTTACAGCGCATGCGCAGCCAGCACCAATCGGATACCATTGCGTCAATAATAGTCGCCTCGGTTTTACCTTTTCGTCATATGTGTACGACATTTCAGATATTTGAGAAAATATCGTTATGTTGGACTGTACGTAGTGATAAATGACAATCAAAGGTATCATAACTCTTAATCGTCTTTAAACCGGTATCAGAGTTGCAGCAGCTGCTCTGGTTCATATGATCGCTTAGTGCAGTTATTAGTCCGGCGGCATGAATCGTGGGTACGGTAATAGACGCGGTCGGAGAGAAGGGGGTCGGCGGTTCGGAGATGGAGAATCCAAGTGGGATGGAGGGGCTGGATCCAGTGGGGGTGCAGGATACCCGAGGAGCTCCGACTGGGACTCAAGGGAAGAGCAAGGACATGGAAGGGGACGAAGAGGAGGAGGAGGAGGAGGAGGAGGAGGAAGAGGCAGAGGCAAACATCCACCCCATTTAAAGGGTCGAGAAATTGGACTGTGGTATGCCAAATGGGGCGGCATTAAAAGATCTGAGGCAGAGAGGAAATCTGTGAGTAGTAGACGGTTACAATGATGTCAGATTGTTTGTTTATAAAATATGTTGAATTATAGTACTTGGTAATGTGTTGTCTGAGATTGACAGCTATATGAGTCAGTGGCATAATATTGATGTTTGTGAGACATTTTATTATGGGCGAAAAAAATTGTACACAACATTTCTGAACTGAAATAAACACCTTTTTATTATTAACCTTATGCGATCGTGGCTGATTTACATCACCACTTGGTCAAAGTCATTCTGAAAAGGTGTAATAAAGTAAGATTTTGTAAGAAATTCATAATTGAGAACAATTTATGTTTGTTTACTAAACAATTTTCAAGCATTTATGCAAAAGTCTTTAGATCTATTTCAATATAAACTAAACTAAAGTTTATGAGTGGTACCATTTTGTGCAACACTATTTAAAACAGTCTGGGAAAATGTTTATTTGACCAATCAATATCTATGATATGATTATGCATATTTTAAGACTGAGAATGGTTGTGTCATTTTTAGAGGGCAGTTGTTCAGATGGATGAATCACGAGAGCAGCACATTACTCAGTTGCTGAATTCTGTCCAAAGAGATCCGGGCAGAGACGGCCATCCCTCCACATCTCAGAGCTGGAGGGTGAAGGAGGAGCCCAGTGGCCACAGGTGCAAAACAATATTGTACAATCATCTGGGTCTACATAGTCATTGAAATCATGGACATGTCAAGGTATTTTAAAATTGTGTTTTCCATAATTATGCTTAAATAATTGTGTCTGCATTCTAGTTACTTTGACGGAGATGATCCTCCGGAACTGCAGAACATTGTGAAAGTGCCAAAAATTGAGCCTAAAGAGCAGAAACGGGAGGATGAGCTGGGAGCAAATGTGAAAGAGGAGCTTAATGACGCTGACCTGGAATACTTATTCCAGGATGTTGTGCGGACAGCCTCCCTGGATGAGGAGCTCAAGAAAGATCAGGAGAAGAAAAAAGATAACGCTAGATACATTGATATGCTGGTGAGACGGACAGAGAACTATTCACTAAACCTTCATGTGTCAAAAAAAGAAAAGCGCTTTTGCCCACAACTTTGTTTTAATGTGGCATTTCCTTTTTCAGAATTTCAGAGAGAAGCTACCTTCTTATGGGATGAGAGAGGTAAATGTCACCTTTTGTGATTCATATACAGTTATATCACTGTAAAATTAGCTGTAAAACACTAGCAGTGTTTAAAAGTGACATATTTAAAAGTTTTTTTCCTCAAAAAAAAAATGTGTCATGCCTTAAAATAGCTTAAATGTAACTCTACACCCTTGTCTCATTTTTTATATGCGGTTCTATGAATATGCAAATTAGCCCCGCCTCCATTCACTCACACCAGCTCAGACATCCGCTCCTTGACAATCACACGTTGTCGTGATTGGTTACGAGGTAGTTTGTGACGTCAGAAACACCAGTGATTTCAAACTGCATTTTTTAGACTGTCTTTGGTTCACTGCAGTTTTAAGGAGAAAATACTCAGCAATGGTGTTGACTTATGAATTTGCACATGGTTTGTCTTAAAGCATATTAAAAACATTACATAGTCATACAAACAACATTTAAAAGCTTGATTTTCACCACAGGGGGACTTTAAAATATACCGATAACCACCACAATAATACAGCTGGCACAATAGAAACCCACATGATGAATCAGAGTTAATCTTAAAGTGGTCTGTTCATAAAACATGGTCAAGACTGTGCACAGGCTCATACACTCAGGGGAACACACAACACTAGAATAACGCAATAAACATGAACTAAATAACGTAAAATGTAACACAAAACACACTAATGTATATAACTGATAACAAAAATAAGAAAGGACAAAATTATTTATAAAAATGTAATCATATGTGATGTTTAACTCTGGGACTTCTGGGAATGTCCTTTTTTTATTATGGTAATTGATAGTTTTTACTATCAGTATTTTACAGTAAAATGTAATGGGATGTTACATTATTTACAGTTTTTCACCGTATATGTAAGGTAACTTAACGTTTTTGTACTGTTTTTACTCTAGCATAAAAATGCTACAGTAAAGTATTTTTCTGTAAAATGTAGAATTTTTTTTACAGCGTAAAAATTATGTTGTTATGTCTCTTTTAGACTTTAGTTTTAATGTGAAGAAGCATTTTAGTTCGCTGATCACCCAGTGAATTTTACTATTTTTAGTTCTCTCATGCATCATTCGGTTTTGTCTTACTGTAGGAGCTGGTTAAACTGATCAGTGCTAACCAGGTACTGGTAGTCAGTGGAGAGACAGGCTGTGGTAAGACCACCCAGGTCACTCAGTTCATCCTTGATGACTTCATCCAGAGGGGCATGGGCTCTCTCTGCAGGGTGGTTTGCACGCAGCCACGGCGTATCAGTGCCATATCGGTAAGTAAAAGCATTATTCAATTTTAACATTGTTTTTCTCTAAACTTTTCCACGGACACCCTTGCACTCTCTTAGTTTGAAAACCCTGGCCTGTGTTAGATAAGAGACATCAGAAATGTGCAGTGCTGGTGATCCTCCAGGATAGGTCACATGATCTGTCAGAAATCATTCTAAGATGCTGATTTGGTGCCCAAGAAACATTTCCTATCAATGATGAACATTTTTACTGCTAAATATTTGTATACATATTTTTTCAAGATTCTTTGATTAATGGAAAGTTCAGAAGAACAGCATTTAGCCCTATTTGAAATAGAACTCTTTTGTAATATTATAAATTTGCTGTCACTTTTGATCAATTTAATGTGCATCGTTGCTGAATAAAATGTATTAATTTCTTTAAAAACCTTTGAACTGTATTCTATTCCTTTTCCTGATGATTTTTTTTATATAACACCATGATCTCTAACATGGGGCAAGTTGTGTCACTGGACCAGTGACAAGCCATATAGATGCTTTCAAGTTCAGTATACATTGCAGAAATGAAATATTATTAGGCCTCTTTGTTTTTGTTCTTTCTTCTTTCACAACTTCATTAAAAAGCAGCGTATCTGATCCCACTCTTCCTACCTAATTTGTAGAGTGTCTGTGGTCCCACTAAAGTATTTTTCTATTTAAGGTGTGAGGTTAAAAGTAAGTGCTTTTGTTTAGGTTGCAGAGAGAGTGGCTTCAGAAAGGGCAGAGCCGGTGGGGGAAGGGAAGTCCTGTGGGTATCAGATCCGTCTGCAGAGGTAAGTGAATCAGATCTGCAAGTCATTCTTAATCCTGTAATCCCCATCCCGGTTCTATGGAGACTATTCTTTTATAGCCGAGTTCTGGCAGATGGGTGAATTCTGTTTTCTCCAAGTTTAATTTTGCCTGTCAGAAAGTTTGAATTTCTCTTTCTCAACTGGCCTAGCCTGGTTGCCGACTGCAGCTTTAAAACAGCTGATTCGAACGAGTGATGTTCGACGGCGGCATCCATCTTTGTAATGTAGGCTACAAAATCTGCTTCAAAATCCCAGCGCTGTCGCCATCGTGTAAAGCCCGCCCCAACGTTTCTGATTGGTGCCTCGATTTCAACGGATTGGAAATGGGCTTGAATGAGCTCTTTGCCAGACTAACTTTCAGAGCAAATCTAAATTTGCCGGAAGTTGTCTGGGTTTTTGTCTGGGTTTTCCCTGGCCAGAAACCCTAACTAATTTATGATTTGTATACACACATAAATTCTTATCTTGGTTTGCCTTAGGCTCTATAAAGCAATAATTATTTTTTCAGGTTTGTTTAACGATATTAAGACCAATTTACTGTAACAATTTAATTAAATTAAATTTAACAATTTAATTCAAAGTCAGAGTCAACTTCATTGTCATTTTTAGCACATTGCATGGCAATGGTTAAAAACGAAAAAGTTCCTTCAGGGAACAACGGTGACAAAAACATAGTGATAGTAAATATAGATAATTCAATTCACATTTATTTGTATACCGCTTTTCACAATATACATCGGTTTAAAGCAGTTTTACAGAAAATGCAGTCCACATTACAATTTAGAGTGATCTCATCAGAGGTAACTGTCTATGTGTACATATACAAATCACAGTTAGCTAAAAATGTGTTAAACAATGTAATAATTTAAGGCAGAAACCATAGGTAGAGACAATAGGTATACAGAGTAAGACGGAGAATTAAATAAGGCAATATACATAAAGTGTAGCAGCATTGAGGTATAAGTTGTAGTGTTGAATTATTGAACTATATAGTTTTGAACTAAACAGTAGCAGTTGTTTAACTGTTAGATATGAAGCTTGTGGATTGTGATTTGTATGACAATACAAAAAATGGAAACCCACAGATGTTTTACACTAAGTCTCTCAGAGACGTAACGTTCTGGCCTTGACTTTCTGGCATTATGATGAGCTGAACAAGCCTTAAAATTTTCTTCTTTAAATAATTCTAACTGGAAATACTGTATGTTTTATAATGAGAGGAAAAGCTGATTATTTTTTAGAAGAGGTAAAAACAATTAATTGATAAATTTGATAAATGAGGCTGCTTTTGTACAATACACAGATTGTTTTTGTTATGATTTTTCTTTGTGCTTCCTTAAAGCTGCAGTCCGTAGCTTTTCCTCTTTGTCGCCATCTCTCTGTTCGAAATCTGTAACTGCAGTGATTCGCGGAATTATCATCTTTACGTGGGTTGTAAATCGGCATGAAACAGCGCGGATGAACACAGTGTTTTGAGGCGAGTGGTGCTGTCAGTCACCGCGCTGTGTGGATACTGTCATTCAGAATCACAGATTCACTTTTTGAAAGTTTGACCAACATAAGAATTTTCATAAGAAAATGTCTTCTGAACAAGTAAGTAACATCCATTTTTTTTCTGACCAACTAAGGGGGAAAAAGCATTCGACATGATAAGCTTCGTTAGATTTAATCAACGCGATTTACAGCAACCGTGCAAATTATAGCCTACTTTGTTCTCAAATTGTTCATGTTAACAACATCACATCAGCATTGCGTGACTAATGTTAAATTTAATGTGTTTTATGGTTACCTGTGTAGTTCAGAATTCATATTCTCCATAATAGCAAAACGAGAAAGGCACAACAAAGGAAACTCCATAACTGTGTGAATTAAGAAAACGTACTGTTACACGATTGAACTATTGAAATGTCTTAACTTACTTGTTCAGCAGAAAAAAGCCGTCTCTTCTTCCGTTTTGAACCCCTTCAAAACACGGAGTTCACGCACTTTTCAAAAGCCCCGCCGATGTTTAAATCCTTGTGTTCGCATGAGACGGTTTCTTTCTCTTTCTCTAGCCACCTTAAATCCGAAGTACGAAGTCTTTTGGGTTTTATAACTGCTGAATCTCCAGTTGACACTGATGATTGTTGTTTGGATCTTTCTGGATCCGCCATAAGTTTAATTATGTAAAGTGCTGCGAGAAAAGCCTATACATCTAAACATCTCGTCACGCGCAGTATAGCCGGCTAGCCGAAACTCCTTCTTTATGTGTACGGGTGTGACGTAATGACGCAAAGACATGCTCGAATTTCCCGCGGAAACCCACCAGTACCACTGGAATTAAAATCATTATTACAAGCTAACCGTTTTGAATCTAGCTATGGCAAGCAGATAGTTTTGACCACTGGCAGAATAAGTTTTTTTTAATATAATTATTTTGGATTATTTTTAACTTAAAAAAGCTATGGACTGCAGCTTTAAAGAGGTCAAATCCTTTTCTATTTCCTTGAGCCCTCTTTATAATGTTAGTCAATATTTATAATTTTTCTTCCTTGGGTTCCCTGGGTGACTCTTTGAGTCACAGCACTTACTCGCAGGCTGCAGGTTTTCTGTTGGGTTCAACAACAGGGCCGCAAAACGCTCTGTGTCGAAATGTGTACCTCGAACTGTTAAGATCAGACTGATCAGGGACAGGGACCTTGTTAAAAATAAACTTCAGCCGTTCTTACTTTGAGAAGGCTATTCAGAGATTCCCCACAGATGGGTAGGCAGAGCCCAAACATTTTCTTATTCTTATTGTTAGAATAAATACCAACTCTAATAACAGTATTGTTTTCTGGTGTTTAGTAATAATATCTGTCCTAGTTTTCTCCTTGAAAGTCCTTTTCTCGTAGTTCACCAACACTGGGTGGAGTTGATGTGGAAATGTGCGAGGTCGAGGTGATGTGTGTGTGTGTGTGTATTCATCCTTGTGGTGTTACATTTGTGCAGGTTAGTTTCAGTCAGACTGATCTCATGAAATGGCGTATGTATGACACGCCAATTCGTATTTCCATTTTTGGCGTGCTATCAACACGCATAATCGCTTTTCAGCGTGTTTATCAACGCCTTTGACTTAACGTTATATTACTGTATTATGTACATATAAATATATGACCTACCCCAACCCCGTCCCTAAACCTACCCGTCACTGGGGTTAATACCATTTATGAGTCTTCTCCTACCATCCTAGGAAAAGAAATATCGCTCCACAGATGTAGAATATAGATTTTGCTTCGTTTCGCTCGGACATTTAACGGCGTACACATACACGCGGAATCACTCGGACGTTTAATGGCGTAGACATACACGCAAAAGATTTCGGCGTGGACATACACGCGGATAGCTCAAAATGCGTATAGATAACACGCCACTTGAATTGAAAGTGGCGTGTATGTTTACGCAAAGTCATGATGTCATGTTGTTTCAGTAGTCATTTTGGACTGGTAAGAAAGTTGAGTTCTGAAATATACACTGTTCTCAAAATATCAGTTTTCTTTCAAAATACTGAGGTTGATTTGTCATGATATAATACATTTTCTTTTTTTAACAAGCTGGAGGAAAACTAAGTACTAAACCTTTTTTTTTCTTTGAGGAAAGGAGAGATGCAGGTTAAGTGTGCCTATATATTTAGTTTTTTTTTCTTTCTTTTTTTCGTGTGTGTGTGTGAGTTTTCATTCAAGCAAGATAAAAGTGGATTAGGCAGCGAGGTCACTGGAACATGTTGTGTCCGAGAGCAGGTAATTGCCTCTCTTCTGAGGGGAAAGATAGAGGACTGATTAGAGCTTGCTGCCAAATATCTCACAACTCTTCTTCTCTCAGTTCCTTTTTTCCCCCATTTCTTCCTTTTTGTCTCATTATTAGTGGTGCCAAGACGAGCATTACTATTGCAATAACTTTTGGGTTAAAGGGATAGTTCACCAAAATAAAAATTCTGTCATCATTTACCCATCCTCTTTTTGTTCCTAACCCAGAACATTTAGTTTATCTTCTAAACACAAATGAAGGTATTTTTAATGAAATAACCTTAGTTTGAAATTAGTTTTTTGTCCCTTCATTGAAAGACAATTTCAACAAAACTTGTGCCTAATTCCTCCTACTTTTCGCCTACTGTTTTTCGAATACTTTGTATTCAGACATTCTACTTTTTTGGCGAAGTGTTTTTCGCATACTACATAGTAGGGAAGTATTTGATTTTGAACGCAGCTCATGAGTTTAGGGGTCTTATCCATGCCTTATGAAGAGACATAATCACTTTATAAGATGAACAGATTTAGTTTAGTCTTTTATTCATTTTTTTTTCATTCATTTCTCTTTATTTGAAAGGGGACCGTGTACATTAATCAACATTGAAACAATGTAAATGTACCCGAGTTAGCTCAAAAGTGCTAATTTTCATCGGTAGTCCCCCAGCCGGGTGTAAAAAAGGCAACCTTAAAGATAACCACAGGTATAAAATCACAAAAATAAAATTACATACAACACATTATGGTTAAGAAATACAATTCATATAAAATAAATATATAATGTTTAAATGCACACAGAAAGCAATAGTGCCCACAAGTTTGGCTCTCTACAAGCCATTTTTTTGCATTCTTTTTGAATGAAAAGAATGACAAAGACTCTCTGATGGTTTCGGGCACTGTGTTCCATTGCTGCGCTGCTCTTACGGAGAAAACAGCCTGACCAAAAGCTGTTTTTCTCCGGGGGATAATGCAGTCTTCCCTCACTGCCCCTCTGGTTACCCTAACCCAGGGGTAGGCAAGTTCAGTCCTAGAGAGCTGCTGTCCTGCAGAATTTAGTTCCAACCCTAATCAAACACACCTGAACAAGCTAATCAATGTCTTCAGGATTACTAGGGCTATAGGCAGGAGAGTTTTTTTTCAGTGTTGGAGCCAAACTCTGCAGGACAGTGGCTCTCTAGGACCGAACTTGCCTACCCCTGCCCTAACCTCACTAGATCT